AAACGTCGCTACAACTAAAACCTCACAATGCGAGTTTCTTTTTTTGTCTCAATATCTTGTGTTTAGGTTGGTGGAGATGGTGCTGGACACTTTGTTAAGATGGTACACAATGGCATTGAATACGGAGATATGCAGGTAGGAGATCAATATTTTAGGTTGTAGCAAACTTGTCTTAACACATTGGGTCAGAGAGATGGCATGTATTTTAACAACTTGACGTCAGTTTTTCATGCATCTGTCCTGTTGTTGATCATGAATTTCGTCGTAACATTGTCAAAGTTATAAGCAGCTGCTGGGGATCCACGGGGCGATAGTGAAGTGGATCCGCAGACTACTTTGACAAGGTTAAAAATGCATAAAAAACTGACGCCAATTTGCTTTTTATAGTAACAAATTGTTAATTAAATTGTCTGCTCTCATGCGATGTATGAACATCGCATAAATAATAAATTCAGGTGTGTCCGCTTATTAACAATGAAAATTAGGCTAAATTTGGTTAACCAATGAGCACAAGAGAATTTCTGCAGTTATTGTAAAATTATAACTAGTGTCTGCATATACATAGAAGACCTCAAATTCACCAACTTGAGGAACTGACATATCAGCAGTGTTAAGTTTGGTCATCAACTTTTGGAGTTTGGAGGAATTAAAGCAAAGTGGAAGTCCCGGGACTGCATTGGCATATATGATGTGAAATGTGGTGAATAAGTGCTAATTAAAGTTCACATACCATTGTCTGTAAATCAAGCTTTGGTATAAGAGTGCAAGATTTAACTGGCCAATAACAAGAAGGTTTTCCCTGTAAACATTGTTTCAGACATGGAGGATATTACATGACTGTGCAGGGATGCAATATCTATGTAACAAAGTTTGCTTATAGACCCTATTCACAAATGGCTGCCAATTCAAAATTCTTTTGTAAGTATTTAAATTAACCCAACTAACCTTGTTTTTGAGTTGTTAATTCAAAAGAAATTATACTCTAATGAGGTTATTTGGTCTAATTTAAATGCATACAAAAGAATTTTAAATTGGCAGCCATTTTTAAACCAGTCTAAGACTTACTGTGTTTGTTTGATCAAATATATATATATTTAACAGATACTCTCTTTAATTTTGTTTTGGTTTTCAGTTGATTTGTGAGGCTTATCATCTCATGAAGAGTGCCCTGGGCATGTCCTCTGATGAAATGAGTCAGGTATATAATTGTGCCTTTTTGCACCTTGTTTTTAAGTAACTTTCAAAACTGTTTCAATGAAAGTCCTTGATATGTCTACTCCTTTCAGACTAAACTGCCAATGCACACAGATCTCCAACAACAGGTGGAAATCTGAGCCAGAATGTAGTTGTTTGGCATTAGTTTGTGCCCTGTACTAAGCTGACTTAGGTTGTGTTCTATTGGGATCAACTGTTTCAACCGCAACTAGTTTCGGTTGATACCACTGACATTTCTCAATAGAACACTTTTCCAACCATTTCCGGTCAAAATGCGGTAACTCCAGGGAATAGTCCTCACGTACAATCACGCAACATAATCACCCATTAAAACAAATGCTTTTTCTACTGTTTCACGCTGGTTTGCAGCCAGTTGTAAAAGTTGATCAACCAAACCAACCGAAAATGGGTTTTCCCCAATTATAGAACATGAAAATGCCCAAACAACCAGAAACGGTTGATCCTAATAGAACACGACCTTGATGACACAGTAACTGTTTTTTTCCCTTGAAGGTGCTTGCAGAATGGAACAAGGGAGAGCTTGACTCATTTTTGATTGAAATTACAAAAGACATCCTTGCATACAAAGATTCTGATGGTCTTCCTCTTGTGGAAAAAATCAGGGACTCTGCTGGCCAGGTATGAAGGTTATTTTATTTTTTAGGTGTTGCTATTAAAAATATTTAGTGAGTAAGATCTTGAAATGAAACCATTTTCAAATGTTGTAGATGCTTTGTGCAATATCTAGAATGGTGTCATTGTGAAAGGTTTTAATTTGTTGTCTTAATTAGAAAGGAACTGGCAAATGGACAGCAATCTCGGCATTAGAATATGGAATGCCAGTCACTCTTATCGGTAAGGAATATGCGTTACACTATGATAATAAGTCACAATGACGCAATCCCACAAAAAACTCTACCGTAAGCTGATAAGACTTGCTCATAAGCTGAGTGCAAAAGCTGAGCTCAGAGCAAGAAAAATGTCTATAACATAACAGCACTTGTGTGTAAAGAGTGCAAAGATTACCTAGTCCTATTTACAACCACAAAGAACTTTGAGAAAAAACTTTCACACTGATATGTGTAGTCCGGCCAGATGAATTGTTGTAAGCCAGTCCAGAAAAAAGCCATCCTTTCTCCATCTGTAAGAAATTCATTTAGCTACATGTATTAAAAACAATAATATTCTTTACATTCATCAAACATTTTCACAGCATTCCAACAAAATCAGCTAGTTTGGTCTGGGTAGATCCAAGTGTTTTTCCTGTCCAGCCCTCACATTAAGCCCTCAATAAGTTCAAAACAGACAGTATCAATTATTTAAAGAACACTTACATGTATACTTTACATTTGTCTTAACTCTGAAATCTTTTTTTTTTCTTCATTACCTTTAATTTTGTGTTTTGATCTTTTTAAAACATCTTAAGAATTTTGTTATTTAAGGGAGGGCATCAAGTTTACCAGTCTATGACTGTAATGTGTTTATACTCAGGCTATTAAGTTATTATTGTTATATACTATATTAATAGTGGGACATTTTATGAGTTTTAGAGAATTCACACTTATTTTATTTGATGAGCCCTATGCAACATAATTTATTAAGTATAGTATGGCTTCAGTCTTGAAGTTGGTACAACTAGATGAAATCCTAGTCAGGGTGACTATTTGAATGAAAGCAATTCTTTCATGTGGCACATTATGTTGTTAAAGGTGCTTCTACCTCTCACATTTGTGACTGAAACATGAGTGTGTGACTATTCAAGAGAGACCTTTTGAAAAGTGCTATATGGTGCTGCTTGTGTGTTTTTTTTTTATTGTCGTTTGTTGTTGTTTAATTTAAACTTTACCAGCGAAAGATCAGTGGGTAATTTATATCACTCTTTGTGTTATATAACTACACCCCCTCACTGACAACTTTCTCCTTGCCCACTCCAGGTGAGTCTGTATTTGCACGCTGCTTGTCCTCACTCCAGACTGAGCGAGTTGGTGCCAGCAACGAACTTAAAGGACCAGCATCTACAAAGTACACAGGAGATAAAAAGGAATTCATTGAGCATATTAGAAAGGTAATGTTAGGTAAAAGGTCCGCAGGGTGCTTGACCCATGTTTGGTTATAGATGTGCCACTAAGGGTTGGAAATTCTGACCCTGTTTAGGACAAAAATACTCTAAAAACCCTATCCTGCTTTGGATTACACCCTGTATTTTAAGACCCTGTTTAGTACAAATTCATGAAATTCAATGCATACATGAAGTAATATGTGTAAAGACGCAAATAAGGGTATAAACATTTTTCGCAAGACATAATGAAATGGAAGATAGCTTTATAGAGACAAACAAGCAACCATTCGCTGNCAATGCATACATGAAGTAATATGTGTAAAGACGCAAATAAGGGTATAAACATTTTTCGCAAGACATAATGAAATGGAAGATAGCTTTATAGAGACAAACAAGCAACCATTCGCTGGACAAGTGCCGACCATATTTAGGATAGAGGAGAGTAAAATTGTACACCCTGTTCAGGACAGTGAGGCCAAAAAACCATACCCTGTCCAGCAGCACGTGCCCTTATAAGCCAAATATGGGAGTAATCCCCCTCCCCCAGGGTAAAAAGGTAAAGGTAAAGTCTGCATACAAGCCAAGAGGCTTAATAGGCCGACGCTTATCTCTGGTTTCTGTAGAACGAAGTGTCTAGGAGTATTTCTACTCCCCCCTGGATGGGGTGCTAGTCCATCACAGGGTTACCCCCAGCATAAAATTAGCCAGTACCCATTTATATGCCTGGGTGGAGAGAGGCACTGTGAGAGTAAAATCTCTGCCCAAGAACACAATACAACATGCCCCGGCCAGGGCTTGAACTCAGGCCGCTCAATCCAGAATGTAGCACACTAACCATGAGGCCACCATGCCCTAAGCTAATGTTATCACTTGTAATTTAATGAAAATGGACTGGTTTAGTTTAATTTAAGCACTATTTGATCCCTTTGAATTCTTTTAATAGGCTCTATATGCATCCAAGATTGTGTCATATGCTCAGGGCTTCATGTTGATGAGAGAAGCAGCTAAGGAGTTTAACTGGACTCTGAACTATGGCGGCATTGCGCTCATGTGGAGAGGAGGGTGTATCATTAGAAGGTAGGTAAATAAAGTGAAATTGCGGTACAGTATGTAAAACAAGTTCTTTCAGTAAGTAACTTGAAATGAATGGCATTCAGATGAGTGAAGATGTATCTCAAAGGAGTAGTGAGCAGCACCATTCACCCAGTAGACTTCAAGTAATCCCTCTTTCTCTTGGTCCGGCGAGCGTGACCATAAATAAACATCAAGGTAAAAATATGGCCACATGAATCCTGGGGGAGAGAAGTGCGTGAAAGGATTTAGCGCAGATATTTTTTTCCTCAAGGTTTTCTTTCGCATCACGCATGACGGACTGAGTGAAAGAGGAACTACTTATAGTCTATTCACTTACATACGTACATGCATACATGCATCCTTTATTATCTTTCCCCATGGGGGCTTTTCGAACTGACTCAGTTTAGTTCACTTGGTTCTTGTTGGCACTGATCTAAACAAAAGCAGATTAATTCAACAAGAACTGAGGTTGGCAGTCTGACATAATCATATACCAAAATGCATGATTACGTTGAAACTGTTCAAGTAATAACACAAGTGAAGTTAAGATGCCTCCAGGTTTAGTGAACTTTGCTACTCCCTAAGCCACCTTAGATGGCTGTTTTCAAAAATGTTTTTTTGGCTATTTTGGTCGTGGATGCATAAAACATTGACATGAAATATCCAATGCGTGTTAGCCTGAAATGTCAGTCATTTCCCGCTGACATTTCAGGCTTAATGCATGTCTGTCCAACTTGTTTTTCCCTTTTTACTGCCAATTGTTTGTTTGTTTTTGTTTTGTGTTGTTTTGTTTTGTTACCTTCGTATTGTAAAATGTAAAGAAAAGGACTTATTAGTTTGCTTCTGTTTTTGTAGTGTCTTCTTGGGCAATATCAAGGATGCATTTATTAAGAATCCCTCTCTCCAGAATCTGTTATTAGACGATTTCTTCAAAAATGCGATTCACGACTGTCAGGTAGGCCACAGAAACTAAATAAAGTATTCCGTCCGTGTCATTAAAATGAGTCTACTGACCAAACAAGATGGAATTCAATTAAAGTTAGAACACGTGGTGAAACTGGTGCTAAGACTTTGATTGTTGTAAAGAACTGTACGAATGTATTCCTTTATTGAGGTTTCATTCCAATTTATTCAGTCCGTCTGTCTGTCAGTCAAGTCAATTTAGTGAGTCAGTCTGTCAGTCTGTCAGTCTGTTAGTCAGTCAGTCAGTCAGTCAGTCAGTCAGTCAGAGTCAGTCAGTCAGTCAGTCAGTCGGTCAGTCAGTCAGTCAGTCATTTTCATTTACTTATCTGGACTTTGAGCAACCATGTTTTAGTTAGAGAGACTTTCAACGTTGGCTGTGCGTACCTTTGACGGATTTTGTACATTTCTTAACCGCCCTACTCTTTTAGTACAAGGGTCTAATTTAATTATTTATTTATTTATTTATTTATTTATTTAATTTATTTATTTATTTATTTATTTACATTACTTTGCTTTTGCGTAGGATTCTTGGCGTAAGGTTGTGGCTGCCGCAGTGACCCTTGGGATACCTACCCCAGCATTCAGTACGGCACTCGCATTCTACGATGGATACAGGTTAGAGACGCGCACCTATGATGATGTTACTTGATGATCAGGCTATAGGTGGTTTGCAACCTTTCGCGAGAGATACAAATGACAAAGACCTTTGCGGCCATGTTGGATGACAGGAACAATAAAACTTATTAGAATTCTTTTGACTATACGTTAACAGCGTCTAACATGATGGATGAAGAAAAGAGTGTTATTTCAAGAGAGTAGTGTACGATTCTTTGCACGGCAAAATGTGATTCCAGACCACTATATAGCTAGACTACGAGTAGTCGCTCTTTCGCTTAGTCCGTCGTGCGTGACGCGAAAGAAAACCGCCCCCAGGATTTCGCGCGGCCATTTTTTTCTCGCGGTTTTCTTTCGCGTCACGCACGACGGACTAAGCGAAAGAGGGACTACTTGCAGTCTACTATATAGCTGATTTAGGTTGGTGATATTTCATATTTGCACAACTGTGAGATATAAAAGACTGGCAGCTGAAGGAATGCCCCCTTCCCCCCTCCCCGTTCGTCACCCAAGTCTCGGTAGATTTATTCTACAGACACTGGTGGTGAACTAGTAGTAGTTACTAACTTCAATTCTGTTTGCAGGTCAGCTCGTCTTCCTGCCAATCTCATTCAGGTAAGATGCAAAACTCTGTTAACTCGTACTTATGAAATGATATTCTCGGACATTGATTACTTTCAAGCAGCAAGTTGAGAGTTTTTGCTAGTCTGAAAAAAATAATAAAATGTTATGAATGCGTTCTAGACAAAACAAAGCTGTTCTCTAGAACGTTCTAGAATTTTTTTTTTTGTTCCAGCCTTAACGAGTTGTCAAGTCTGTCATTTACACGAATTTCTCATTCCTTCATTTAGTCGTTCAAATTGAATCGTAGAGTCTGAAAAAACACTAAATGATTATCAAGACCGTATTAAGTGAATGATATCTAGCACAATTTTCTTGTAGTGACACAGTTAAAATTAAAGCGGTTTTCGATTGACTGTCGTAAAACCAATTAGACTACTCAAACCTCCCTCAAATCGTAGTAAAACCAAAACCAAAACTAAAGTAAATGGCTGATTACTTTCGACACTCAAATGGAAATCTGCCCAGTATTTATCTCCTTTCTTAGTTTCTTTTTAATTTCATCGCAGGCTCAGCGTGATTATTTTGGTGCCCATACCTACGAGCTCCTCAGTAATCCTGGTCATTTTGTACACACCAACTGGACTGGGCACGGGGGCTCCGTATCCTCCACCACATACCAGGCCTGAGCAGAGATGGACCAGGTCCAAGGAGAATACGATAACGACCTGTGATCTTAATCCAGTGCACTGTTAGTTTTTAATCGTCTGAGTCCAGTGAATCTCCAGTTTCTTACGTGTACGTTGAAACAATATAAGAATGGAGTATGACAAACAATTCGTAGATAGGTAATCGTATTGTAAAACAACATTTACAGAGTAAAAGTAGGGAAAAAATCGGCTAGTTCTGTGGTTCAAGTCCAATTAGTATTAAAACAATAAATGAACCCGCATTAAAGAGAATACATGATTTAACTCTTGTATACTTAAACGAGAACATAGCAAGCGTTTTGTAACCACGGGGCTTTCTACTACCATCGAAAACATTTGGGTCTCAATATAATAATTATGATATGGAAACTTTAGTGCAAATATGAAACGCCTTTTTTTTTTAATCGCACTGCCCGCCCAGTAACAAGCACCCTAAACTGACCGAAAGGCTGACCGCAAACTGGCCCAGTAAGGCTGACCAAAGTTACTTCAAGAATGATCCTGCTTTGGATTGTTTTTTTGATGCCTCAGTCTGCAGGTACTTTGTTTGAGTATTTCTCTCGATTCTTCTTGGTAGAAGAAATTCTTGTTTGTCGCGAAAGGTTGACCTGAGAACCGACAACCCCCAGCGTTGGCCACAGACTTCTGTTGCCGTTATAAAGTTAGCAGTTGACTGGTCTTTGGGCTGGTGGGGGTGGAATCATTCGCTGGTTCGCTGAAATGAAATACTCTGAAGAACAGCACCTCCAACAGACAAGAACTGATTTTTCTCACGATTGCAATTTCGCCAACAGGAGCTGTCAAGACAAAAGCGGTATACAATGAGCATAATAAAGTGTATTTGTATCGAGCTTATGGGTTTCAGTGATGGTTGCTTTGGAAATTTTATGCTTCAGAAAGGCAGTTAAGCCAGGGTCAGTGAAATCGAAGGAATATGTTTCACGTTACGTACAGCACGACCAAATTTATTTTTTAAAGTAAAAAAAAGTGTGCATTCCATGACCAATGCCTGCTCCATTTTCTCGAGTGTCCCCATGCTTCATATGTTTTGTGCCCATCTTTCACATCTAAATAAACCGTCTTAACAACATTTTCGAGCACCTTTAACTGAATGACATTTTTGGGTGATAGTTAACTGGCAGTCATAGGGAGTATAAAATCAGTGGCGCTTCCCATTCGATGAAAAATTCCGGTTTGAATTTCCAGTGACGAATGGAACTGCATTTTACGGCCGGAAGTTTCCACAAACGAAGACAACCTTGCAAGGTATACCGAAATTTTCCAACATTTCTTACCAGGAATTTCTGTTCCATTTGACTTTTTTCCTGGAATTCCCTAAATTTTAGGGTAAATGGTTCACTTTTCGAAAATTCAACAATTTCAAGATATTCTGGAAGCTTTCCGAGGAAATTTCCGTACCATATGTCCACGTTTCGAAATTTTCGGAAGTTTTGGTTTAATGGAAAGCGCCCCAGGGCTTTCTTGCAAGTTGCCAATAACCCTTTTCTCGCTTCAATTTCAAGTCGGTAACAAAACAGTTTTGAATCATTTTTTACTGGGCCTTTAAATAACATGCGGACTCTAAAATTCAAAGCTCAACCGACAAACGCGTTTTTCGCTACCGAGTAGGGAAGGTTTCTAGTTGCTTCCCTCGAGCGTTCAAGAGGTGCAAGTTCTACATGTCAAACACGCGCCGCGAATATTCGCGAATGTTAAGAAGATTAACGGCCTTGAAAATGTTATTAAACAACAAATCTTTTCTTGCATATTGTGGCTGTTGTCATCATTCTATTCCGCGGAAAACCCCGTTTAATAACTTTTAATATAAAGAACAGCTACCGAGATTTTTTTTTGTTTTTTTTTTTAGTTTAAAAATCCCGTTTCAACTGATAAGACTCGACTTCAGCCAAATAGTTTTAAATTGCTTCGTAATGCACGGCGGGTACAAATCTAGGATTCTGGTCTCACTTAAGGTGTTGATGACGAAACGTCACCATTTTTAGCTTTCAAAGTATCCTTTAGGGTGCACTCGAGAAAGTAATAATAAAAGAAACGCTGTCATTTAATTTCTGTTTTCAGGCTTGAATTCCGCTGATCTCTCGAGTACGCGAGTCGGGTCTACAGGTGCGCGCGGGATCCTTTCTTGAACAGTGGCTAGTGATCGAACCCCTTTCGGTTCAAGTGGTATCTTTTAGGGGTCTAATGAAGCTCAAGCAATGTCCACATTAGTCTCCCTTAGGAGTTAAATTCATATTTTCCGACGAGCATCCCTTGCCTTTTCATATGGGAGTTCCCCCCCCCCCGGTTTCCAAATGTCTAACGGGAAGTGAAGGAGTGATCAGTGGAGTGAAATCGTTCCACCTCTACAACTTGGACGGAGACGGAACAAGCTAATAGCGCGTGAGATCTGGGGAGAGGATAAAGCAACAGGACCTAGTTTTTGTCCCCCGTTTTTGGTCTCCTTCTCAGTTATTCAAGAGGGCGACTCCGCTACCGGACAAAGTGGTCTATTGATTTGAACGCACAAAAAGAGCTGGGTTGTTCGTAGATTGTCAGGTTATTTTCATTGTCTCATGGTGCGGAGCGGGACTGAAACTAACGGTGCCCCCCGCCGATGAATAATGTATGAAAAACCAATTTCAGTGTTTCCACGGTATTTGCGAGTTACTTAAGAAAAATCTCCTCGGTCTCCCGAAGACTAAACAAGAGAGTTATTATGGTCGGACCTCTTTGGTGAAGTCATGGAAATCTTTCAGGGTTTTTGTGGGAGGAGAGTGATCTTTAAAGAGAAGCGCCTGATCACCTGTTAACATGTCAAGGAAATGGTTTTACTTGGGGCTAGCTTTACAACTTACCATGCTTGTCTTACTCTATCGGCTCTTCTCCGAGGAACGCACGATTATTATTCACAGCTCTGCGTCCGACAAAACGTTCCCGCGCTTTCCAGACATTGTCATCCCAAAGGGGTCCACAGTTAACGGCAAATTGCATCAGCGAACACAAAATTTAACAATAGCGATAAACTGGAACGAAATACCACGGAGGTCTTCTCCTCCAGTCAAGGAAATGCACGAGAAATGGATTGTTCTCACGACTATAAATGCACCGACAGATGATGTGAAGAAATTAGCTGATATTGAGGGTTGGAAGGTTGTTGTGGTTGGTGATACAAAGACCCCGGGAGATTGGAGGTACGTTGTATAGAATTCAACTACATTGCTTGATCATTGTGCCGGCTGTCGTTTTAAAATCTTAAAAGACAAAACGAAAATTACGTTGCTTAATTTTGTAAGAGCCTCAGCAGAGACTAGTGGACTTGGCCGAGGGCAGCCAGTAGGTTTAAGTTTATACATCTACTGTCACTTTCATAATAGGCCCACGTGGCGATACGAATATTATAATGTATTCATTGTAACCTGTCCACGAAGATGATTTATGTCACCAGTCATTTTTTCCTCGTGTGTCGGAAAAAGGGCATCTAAACCTTGTTCCAATTGCCAGCTGTTTTTTATTCCTCAAATTATAGATAATTTATTCCATTGACGATACAAGATTTTAATATGCACCTTCTACGGTTTAGGACGTTTCTGAATTCATTTAATTTAATAACTATTTGCGTCAGTCTCTGCCCGTGGTCAAATATATATAAGTTCTGCACGGGTTCCCGTACAGATTTTTGCCTTGTGCAGTTCGACATTTCACGGTATTTCTACCGAGTTTAGGACCATTTCCATCTCAAGATATGTTTATTTGATCTTCAACTTGTCTTGTCTGGCCTCAAATATCATGTTCCATGCAGTTACTTTAACGCCTCAGGGTATACAGATCGATACGGAGGTTTAAACGACTACTGGAGTTTGTTCAGAGGACCAATCACTAAATCAGCCAATCAGATTGCTCTATTGCGGCCCAATATTTTCTAAGTAATGGACCGATCCCTGTTTCAAAAGCGGAACCCGTGCAGTTTTGTTGCTTTTTGTTTTGCTTTGTTGGAAGAAGTCTTTTTTTTTTCCAGCTTTCTTTTTCTTTTTTCGTTAAACGGCTGGACCGTAAGTAAACAGGCGGTTTGTTCGCTCTCAACCCGGCAGAATTGCATGATTGAAGTTTTCGATAATTCTTTTACTCCGCGATCGTGGGATTTTTTTTCTAAACATTTTGATATCGCGTAATAACTTCTTAACCACTGAAGCTTGTTCGAACAATACGGAAAATATCGGCCCTTGGTCATTTTTGCATGGGCCTTGTTATGCTTCGGTCTGCACTGTCAAGACTTCAGATTCTCGCAAAGTACGACTCTCGCGCTCTGCCGAGATTAGTCCAGTTCTGGCCCTCTCTCTGTCGCAACGCTACCCTCTCTCCGTTGCACGACAGAGAGCAGGCCAGAACTGGACTATGGCGAGATAAGTAACATAAAATATCTGGAATTATAAAACCAGTGTTAATGAAAATTCCACCGCAACTCAGTCTGAGCGCTTTTTTCTCGCCAAGAATCATCTGTGATGATTGTTTAGTGGCATAATGAGACAAACTAGCAATTCAAAAAGAAATTCTTCCTTTGGAATTAATAAAATAGCTGGAGCAAATGAAAGGGTTTTAACTGCAGTCATTTTTCTCCCCAGTCATCCCAATTACGTTTTCTTGAGTGTTGAGAAGCAGAAATCCTTGGGATACCGCATCCATGACTTTCTCTCTTACAAAAGTTACGCTCGAAAGAACCTTGGCTACCTCTATGCTATTCAACATGGCGCCAAAATCATCTATGAAACAGATGATGATAATTCTCCAACAAGCGGAAAAATAACTTTCTTCCAGCAAGAAACTGGCGACTTCTTTGTATACAGAACAGATTCTATTGTGGTTAATCCGTACGAACATTTTGGACAGAGTACAATATGGCCTAGAGGGTACCCGCTAGATCGCATTGCTGATCCCCCGTCACACAAGTTCATCAAATGCCAAGGGGTGGACACATCTATACAGCAGGGAGTGGTTAATGGTGACCCGGATGTAGACGCCATCTTTCGGTTAACAAGAAAAGACAAAGACGTGGATTTGAAAGTTGAGTTTGACGCTGATGCACCATCCGTTGTTCTTCCTCCAAAAACAATGGCTCCGTTTAATTCACAAAACACGCTGTTTATGAAAAAGGCATTGTGGGCCATGTTGATACCAACCACTGTAACATTTCGAGTCTGCGATATCTGGCGTGGTTACTGGGCTCAGCGGTTACTGTGGGATGTTGGATCACAGCTGTCATTTTTCCCGCCAAACGCCGTTCAATTTCGAAATTCACACAACTATCTCATTGATTTCATCGACGAGAAAGTGCTTTACCATGATGCTGGGCGATTAGTTGAGTTTTTGATCAATTGGAAATCTGACAAACCAGATCTCTTTAGTAGAGCCCTGGATTTAAGTATAGCAATGGTTGAGCAAGGTTTCTGGCAGCTGAATGATGCCATGTTAACAGAAGCGTGGCTAGCTGATTTAGTAAGTGTTGGATATGAAATGCCAACTATTAACACTGCTCCGCAATCGTGTATAAATGTATTAGGTGGGGAAGTTGAGCTTCTACCGGAAGAAAAACCATCTTCATATCTGCGAGCAGGCAGAGAACTGAAAAATTTAGCTCTGTCAAAGATGTGATCGGATGTTTATAATGTAAAGGATTTGTTGCAAACTTTGTCCTCTTTATTGAATCCATTTCGGCTTTACAACGGAGTTTATTTTCTAACTGTTTTTGGTAACATCCAAACAGTACGTTGTACAGATAAAAAAGACAAATTTGTTGAGACTGTGAGAAGCGCGGTCGCTGGACCCGTTTCGAGGTTGTAAGGCTTTCTCTCAGGCTATCGCTTTTTTCGTTCAGACCACGTGATCCGAAACGGATTGATCGGACTACGGAATTCTTGAGTACAGGACTCAACTCTTCCAACTTCACCCAGGTGTATAAACAGCTGTTTCGACAAAGGTTGGAGAAGTAATACTTCTTGTTTTTATCATACTATTCAAATCGACGTTAAATACCGGCAATAGTGGTTTCTTTCGGAATATATAATTTTCAGCGTTATTGGTATAATCACACAAATGAGTTATTACTTTACACCTGAAAGAATACTGATTGTGGGTGTCTATGGCAGTGGTCTTATAATATTGCATTTTAGTTGGACATTAGTAATTTATTGTAGAAGAAATTATATGAAACCTAATAAACAGTCATTTAAAATCATGTTAGGCAGTAATACTTTGAATTTTGTATTGTAAAGAATAATAAGAAATTGTTTAGCTTTGTACAAAGTTTGTATTTCGAGGCGGTTTACTGATAAAGAACTTGACGTTTCGTATTCTAGTCCACACACATTTTCAAAAGTGACCGTTACAAATTTTTGAAGATTGTTCAACCTTCATAAGAAGTGGACGCCTATGACGTTTTGATAGCCATTTGACTGTTTGCGTCTAATTGGCTTTTGCCTCTGTTTCGCAGCCATGCCTGGTGCAAATTATATTTATGTTTGATGCTTGTGGCTGAAGCTGCTCCTTTCAATGAGAAAATTTTCATTTCCCCCCGATCACCCGAATAGAAAGGTGTCCGAGCCATGGGAGGAACACCATACGATAAGGAAGGGGTGTTCGTCGAAAATTTTGAAAAGAACCCCCAAGAAGTACCAAAACCGCGTTGTTAACCCCTAAAAGGTACGACGAGTACCCCCGTCCTTTTCATATTGGAGTCCCCCCGGGTCCAGGCATAAGACCCTAGGTATGTGTTTGAAGCAAGAACCACTTCCTTGCCCTCCCCTCTCTCAATTCCGCTAGTGCCTACCAAGGTCTTATTCACTCTGTGTTTCAAACAGTTTTCAGTTTACAACACCACGAGCGTTATGAGGTTCTGAAAGAGAGCAAACTTCCCTCTGTACTGTTCACATTTTTTCTGCATTTCAAATGAAATGCTCCTCTTAGTGCTATTTTCAAGTTTAAGCTCAATTCCTTCGCAGACATTCAGCTGTTTGTATCAAGCAAGGCGCTGCTGAGACAGCGAGTATACTTGAAAAGCAAAAAGCTAAATTTGGGTGATTAAAGATTTAGAACTTCTTTTATGAGCTAACAAATTGTGAAAAGTCTGACTACCTTTCGATCAAAAAGGATGCATGACACTCACCAAAGGATTTGAAATGTGTTTCAAGGTCAGTCATTTTCTTGCAAGTGTGTGTACCTGCCTTTAACTGACATCAGTCGGAGTTCTTTAAAACACGGAGAAATCGTCAAAAATAAGTTTGCTGTTTCATTGCTCACTGTCCAGATGTATTTCATTTCTTCAAGGTCAATCAGAGGTAAGCCGTGAAAATTTCAGGTGTCTTCGTTGACTTCGTTGCTAGTGGCTGTTGAAGCTCGGTATTGCAAACAAGCGAAGCTCAAAGATTTTAACTCCGTCAGTTTCCTTTCTCAGGGCAGGTAGACTAAGGAAAATGTTTTCCAAGTTAATATATTCACGAAGCCTTCTTATAGCCAACAGATCATTTTTTTTCAATTCGTTGTATAGGCAGCGAAGTCGGGGTTAAATAAAATTTGAGCTCCCAAAATAAAACACAAGCACCCCTGGCGGCCCCCTGCTCCCTACCTCTTACCCGCCCCGCCTTAGATTGCGAACGGTCTCTCTTTTTCCCGAAAATCTGCGGAGAAGAACGCTGAAAACTGAGCGAACGAGCAGCGGCGACTGCGTCTTTCACTCGTCCGTCGCTACTCTTCGCTGTTCGCTGCTGCTCGTACGCTCAACTATTTGCGTTCTTTTTCCGTGGACGAGTTAAACCCCGCCTGGGCGCTAAAAGGACTTGGTACCTACTAAAAAGGGCTTAGCTTACAGCAGGTGAGGATAAATGATAAGAGAGTTTATCAATCCCTCTTAAGTTAATCTTAGATCACTTAACACCCCAGTTATATCCATACAGTTTTACTCAAAACACCACTCAGCCTGAAGGACTCCTGCGGAAATGTAAAATCTTTTATTTTTCCTCTGCAAAAACCGAATTTGAGTAATTCTGAGACGTGTTTTCCTTTTCCCTATTCAAGTTTGTAGATATATTTAATATAGCTGGATTCAATTTTCTCTATTACTGTATATAGGTCTTAGCATAGAAGGGCCACGCCCAGTAAACTTTATTATTATCATTATCATT